TGGCGCTGCTTCGACGGGTATGAAGTCGGGGATGGTTGCGCAATGCGTCGAGTTGGCTGGTACGAGTTGTATGGCAGCAAACATCATCTTGCTCAGCATGGCTTGTAGGAACCAGCGCTTGATACCAAGTTCAGACTTTGCCAGACGCGCCGAGACATCGGCGTATTCGTGTGTACGGAGAGCCGGCGAGAGAAGGGCGCGAATGGGGACCCAATGTGACGAGGCTACTTCGGTGGGCTGCAGGCGTTGCTGTGGGTAGGCGGGAGAGGTCAGGAGGTAGATGTACGGGCATAGTACCATGAGTCTGCTTGTGGTCAGCCGAGGTTCGGTCGATTATAGTCTCCATGATCCAAGTCTAAGTGATGTTGAGTGTGACGACGTACGGTACTTTGCCCCAGCTCGTCGTAACGATGCGCTGCGGTAGATTGCCGACCGCGATCGCATTGGCAGGGGTCAGATCAATGCCAACCTCTTCGAGCGCTTCTCTAGCTGCTGCTGCCTGGTCGTCCTCATCCTCTGGATCCCTCTTCCCACCTGGCAATGCAACATGTCCGTTCCACTTATCACCAATTCGTGCGGCTCGCTTTATGAAGAGTAGCTCGGGGTCTCCGTGCTTCACCCATTCTTGTGAGAAGAAGGCGCTTAGTGACGACTCAAAGTCGAATTCGGAATGGGGCTGTGCGACAGATGATCGTCTGCGTCGAGGCGGTAAAGGGCTATCGGAGCTGTCAGGCCAATGCGAGTAGTTTGGTTGTATGCGCAGTATGAGGGCTACGGAAGCGCGTTTAGGCAGGTTTGGCGGACACGCGACATCGGGATAGGGGTTCGCGTTGAGCTCCAGCAGAATAGACTGGAGATGGCTGACGAGGTCTTCGGTACTACTATGCGTTGTCATGATGTCTACGGGATCTCAATGCGTTGGAAACGGAAGTACGCGTTCGAAGATGGATGGGTCGGGAGGCCCACGGCACATTGGCGAGGGTGGTGACTTGTCGCGGGTACTGCTGTGCATGCAAGTGACACAAAAAAGAAACGCGCGCCGCGATGAGGTCTAAATGGCGGCGGATGTGATTCTTGAGAGATTCAGCGGCTGATATATGCGTATCGCAACGGAGGACCGAGGCGCGATAATTGACATGGCCATGGCGATTGGCTGCATCGCTCAACTCTGCGTAGAGGAGCTGACGAGCGGTGAGTGGACGCCATGATCGGTACGACACATGGATATGGGAAGACAGGCGATGCACAGCGGGAGCTACGTGTATATCTAAAGGATACGAGCCGTAGTCATCTGGAGTTTGCGTCTCGCAGTCGCGTAGCGGAGACGAGCTCTGGCCAATCGGGCTAAAGCCATGGAGGGGCAGGCAAATGAGGTCACTTGTGAGCCCCGCGACGCCAAAAAAACTCCACAGTGTGTCGTGCGCCATTGTTTTGTACCCCAGATCTCTCTGCTTTACTTGACTGCCTCTCTTCAATTGACAACTGAACATTCAAATCATAGTCAACATGGGAGGCCAAAAGACAGGTAACCACGCGCTTCCAGTACCCATAAATTGCTCCTAACTCTTTGCGCCAGCGATTCTGTCAGTTTATGACAAGACCGGTCTTCTTGACTTGGCCAAGGGACTGCACGAATGCGGTGTCCGCCTGCTGGCCTCGGGCGGCACGGCCAAGATGATCCGCCAGGCCAACTTCCCCGTAGAAGATGTCTCTGCCATCACCAAGGCGCCTGAGATGCTCGGTGGACGCGTCAAGACGCTCCACCCCGCCGTACACGGAGGCATTCTCGCGCGCAACCTCGACTCGGACGACTCAGACCTCTCCGCCAACAGCATCGACAAGATCGACTTCGTCGTATGCAACCTGTACCCCTTCTCCGAGACCGTCGCGCGCATCAACGTTACCATCCCAGAGGCCGTCGAGGAGATCGACATCGGAGGTGTCACCCTTCTTAGGGCCGCCGCGAAGAACCACGCACGCGTCACCATCATCAGCGACCCCAACGATTACCATGACCTCCTTACCGAACTCAAGAAAGACGGCGAGGTCTCAGAGAACAGCAGACAGCGCTACGCGTTGAAGGCTTTCGAGCAGACCTCGTCATACGACACCGCCATCTCCGAGTTCTTCAGGAAGAAGTACGCAGGCGACGGCGACCAGTTCCTTACCCTTCGATACGGCGCAAACCCCCACCAAAAGCCCGCGACCGTCTCGATGCCGGAAAAGTCTCTGCCCTTCAAGGTGCTCTGCGGCTCTCCCGGATACATCAACCTGCTCGATGCGCTCAACGCATGGCCTCTGGTGCAGGAGCTGACCAAGGCGCTCAACTACCCAGCCGCAGCCAGCTTCAAGCACGTTTCGCCTGCGGGCGCGGCTATCGGAGTCCCCCTCAGTGAGGTGGAGCGCAAGGTATACATGGTCGACGACATTGAGGGCATTGAGAAATCGGGTTTGGCACAGGCCTACGCTAGGGCGCGTGGTGCTGACAGGATGTCAAGTTTCGGCGACATGATTGCCCTGTCCGCTGAGGTAGATGTCCAGACTGCGAAGATCATCAGCCGCGAGGTCTCCGACGGTGTCATTGCACCCGGCTACACCGCCGAAGCTCTGGAGATCCTCAAGAAGAAGAAGGGTGGAAAGTACCTGGTCCTTCAGATGGACCCCGACTACGTCCCAGGCCCCGAGGAGACCAGGACCGTATTCGGCATCACCCTCAAGCAGCACCGCAACGACGCCAAGATCGTCCCTGCCGATACTTTCAACACCGTGATTGTGCCCAAGAACTCTGGAGCTCTTCCGGAGCCTGCCCAGCGCGACTTGACTGTCGCCACCATTGCGCTCAAGTACACCCAGTCCAACAGTGTTTGCTACGCGCTCAATGGCCAGATCGTCGGTCTCGGGGCTGGTCAGCAATGTAAGTTCGACAGATCCTATATGGTGAGCAACCACTAATTCCTGTACAGCACGCATTCACTGCACTCGCCTGGCTGGAGACAAAGCCGACAACTGGTGGATGCGTTTCCACTCGAAGACGCTAAACCTCAAGTTCAAGAAGGGCACCAAGCGCCCCTCAAAATCCAATGCCATCGACCTCCTGTGCTCTGGTCTCGTCCCCGAGTCAGGCATTGAGCGCGACGATTTCGAGGCCAACTTCGAAGAGGTACCCCAGCCGTTCACCGCGGATGAGCGCAAGGAGTGGCTCTCCAAGATGGAGAGCGTCGCTGTCAGCTCTGATGCCTTCTTCCCCTTCATCGACAATGTCTTCAGGGCGCACAGGAGTGGTGCCAAGTACATTGCTGCGCCTACAGGAAGCCAGAACGATGGCGCCGTCTTCGAGACTGCTGAGAAGCTGGGTATCACCTTTGTTGAGCAGCACATCCGGTTGTTCCACCACTAAGAAGTTGGTGTGAGAGATGAAGATGATATTTGCTGATGACTTTAACGTGCATTGAATTGGCGAGATGACCAGTCTAAATGAGATGAGATTACGATACCTTCAAAATGTGGATACTTCGACCTCCAACTCGACCATCAGTAAATTGTGATCTATTGAGTGGCACGGCCTGCTCCTTGCCTTGGAAGGCCCTTCAGAGTGCTGCCATCCTTCTGCGCGGTGATCAGTCTCTCCGCAAGAAGAATATGTGATAGTAAAGTGCTGAGCTCGACACAGCTGCAAGTATCACCATAGTGGTGTAGAACCGCGTGGTTCTTGAGTATTCAACGTAATCCGTGCTGCCGCAACGGCAGACAGGCTGGCGGTACTGCAGCAGCTAGAAAGCGGTCGGACGGCCTTCGTGATGATATATCCTTGAGAAGTCGGACGATGTATGCGACGTAGCGTGAGGTACCGGTGTGACACATACACGATCGCAGTCCTAAAAGCGCCTGCTTCAGCCGCATTATAACCTCATCTGACCCTCCCTACGCCCATTATCTTATCTTCAACCATCTTCATCAAGACATCTTTATCCTTGACCGCCTTTACCCTCTCTCCTTCCAGATCCTCCAACTGCCTCTCCAACTCCTTCATCCTATCCACTTGCTCCCTCTCGCTCCAATTCAAGCCCGGTAGATGCGCAATCAACCTCTCAATCTGCTGCTCCTTCAACGTAATGTCCTGTGCCATTTCTTTCAGATCTGCTTGAAACTGCTCTGGGGAGGGTTTGGGCGGGACCGCGATTGGTTGTTGTGAGGGATCTTGGGCAATGCCTTGTTGTGTGTTCTCAGCGGCGTTTCGTGCTTCTAGTTGGGCAAAGGTTTCGAGGGGTTGTTGGCCTTCGGGGACGCTTGGTGGCGCGTTTTCGCGGATTTGACGGAGGGCGGCGGACATTTGGTTCAGGAGCTGGGTTTGTTAGGAGGGGGGGTCGTGTGTTGGTTGGAGGGTGGTACCATGTCCAGTTCATCTTGGATTTGGGTGAGGATGTCGCCCATGGTGGCAGGTGGATGTGTTGAAGGCGTAAAGGCTTCTAGCTGCCAAGAAGTATATATGAAGCTGGGTATCAAAGCTGCGAGTTTGGCGTGCTTGATCTGAGTGTGTATGCTAGAGGCAAGTATCGCGTCCGAGTTGTAGAATGCGCCGGCTGGGCTAGCCTAGCGCGTCACCGCCATGTTCAGGGCCCAAATTATACGCGAATGCTCTTTCCTCCAATTCACCCCACTCGACGCCCGGCACCCACTTCCATTCTCCGTCGCGTCAATTCTCGTGTAAATATGTCACATTCCAAGCGCTATCTCAGGATACCGTGATGCGACCTTCCCTCCGCCCACTATGGCTCCCACAAACCTCATTTCTCGCACGGCTCCCCCGAACTACTCCGCACCGCGTCCCACGCCGAATCGCGACCACTTCAGCGCGCAATGCTGCGCCAATTGATCTACCCAAACTCAGACTTTCGCCCGGCTCTCTGTATCACGATTCGCTTACGACGTTCCTCGAATATGCGAAGGAAACCAATCTGAATTTGACCTCAACTCTCGCTATTGGTACTATCTATGAGTACATGTCGGCGCAGGCGCTCATGCGCCTAGGCTTCTCTCTCTTACGTATAGGCCGTATGGGGGATGCAGGCATAGACTTGATTGGACACTGGGTGCTGGGACCTCTCAGAGAACCCATGCCCGTCATCGTACAGTGCAAGGCAAGGAGTAATAGTGTCAACCCGAAACACATCCGCGAACTCGAAGGATCTTTCCAGGGTGTACCACCGCATTGGCGCAACAAGGATGTCTTGGGGCTATTGGTAACAACAAAAAAGGCTACGACGGGGGTGATGAAAGCTATAGCGAACAGTTCGTGTCCTATGGGCTTCATACTCATATCGCGGGAGGGACTAGTGGAGCAATTTGTTTGGAACCGGGCGGCAACTGAGAGAGGGCTGCAAGGAGTAAGTGTCACGGTGAGGCATACCCCGCGGGCTTTACTGGAAGATCCTGAGGAGGGATTAGAAGAGGACGCGAGGGTATCAAAGAAGAGTCAGGACAAGTTCAAAACTTCGGGAACGATGAAAGACATACAATTAACCTGGATGGGATCGCCCATCTTTCCAGACAGGGACAACCTCGACCAGGAAACCCTCAAGCTCATGCGCCAGATCCCAGCCAACATTGTGCATGTACCCGCCCCCGTCGTTGAAGTGGAAGAGCCACCCCAAGGGTGTTCCAAGGATTCTGCAAAGGACAAGAAGAAGGCCACTTCAGCCGTTGCGCCCAAAATCGGTCGGCCCATAAAAATGTGGTCCGAGAAAGCGCCTCGTCCACGCGGAGGCCAAATCTCAGGCACCTTAAAGAAGCCTACCGAAGGTCATACCATGGGAAGGCCTCCAGGATCGAAGACTAAGCGTAGAGCGGGCGATGAGCCTGTGGTGATAGAGAAGCCACCGAAGCCACCGAAGGACCCTCACCGTCATAAAAAGCTCAGGCAGCAGATACCTACCTGCCGTCCACGACTGGGAAGACCCCCTGGATCGAAGAACAAACCCAAGGTACCTGTTGATACTGGCTGAGGTGGGAAGACTCGCATTCTTTTTGGAGAATGTGGTCTATCGAATTCTCATTTGTCCTATCAGGGACACCCACGCAAGCGCCGACTATGAGCGTCTTATTCAGTGCACATACGATTCCAGTCACAGCTACGGGCTGTGCATGTAGCCACGCGGAGCTGAGCGGGGCAATCAACAATGGCGCATGAACGAGGTGGGCGAGTCAGAACACACAGTCCGGCCAAACATGAGCATGATATGCCGAACATGGGAATCACTCACACCTGCACTTCGTAGACGATCATTGAGTAAAGATGCCTACACCCCAGTCATGTGGATCATGGGGAGACATGGATTTCCGGCTACGCTCCCAAGATTCCCATACGTCACCACATGGCCATTTCAGGAGCAAACCATGGATCGAGGAAACAAACAAGATACTTCATTAAGGTCAAAACGTGGGATGCTGTTCGTACTCAACTCGCGACACGTGGGCGGACGCGAAACCATACATAGTACTAGATAATAATACAATCCTAACACATGTCGTACAAACACAAACTGATACATGCCTGGATCTAACTCTACTGCGCGCCTAGTGATCAGTAATCAAATCGATCTGGCAGCACAAGAGGAGCAACCAGTGTCCATGTGTAAATGCCGTAGCACACCCATGCGCTGATGATCTTTGCCCAACTAGCCCAGTACGTCCGACCGACAGGGACGAAGCTACCAGATACATCCTTCTCGTCAAAGTTTGTGGTGAGGAGGGTGGCGACCCATGTTGTGCTGAGGAAGAAGATGATGTGGAAGAGGGTGTAGTTGTACTGTGTTGCGTTGCGCTCGTCATCGCGCGGGTTCTTCTTGCTGGAGGGCTCGTCGTCCTCGTCCTCGCTGTCGGAGTCGTCGAGGGCAGAAGCGGGGAGGGATCCAGACTCTACAGCAGCGCGCAGGGCAGCCTGGCGCATGTCGCGACGGGACTCGGGCTGTTGTGTGACGAGACCATGTTCGTAGTCTTCGGTGCCAACCTGGGCGTAGCCGTTTCCGTGGGGGTTGCCCTGAGCGCCCAGAGCGAGACCGTATGTTGCTGCGCGGGTGGTGGTGTAGGCAACTGTGACGAATGTGACAATCGCGCCGATGATGATGGTCGCCTTACGAGTTCCACGGGCGCGAATGAGAGGGTTGCATTGATGGTCATCGGGTTCCATACCTACGGCAGACAAGGTGAGGTAGGTGCAGTAGACGGCTACGATGGCGGATTGGGCGAGACCAGCTCGGGGGTTTACGTCCTGTACTGCGGGGTGGATCGAGGCGACGGATGATATGAGGAGCAGAATCAAGTTGATCTGACTGAGTTAGCTAGCTTCAGCATATGTCCAGAAGTCAACTTACGGTAATGGCTGCCTGGTTCATGCCGCATCCACTCTTTGCAAAGAAGATGTACATGACAATGGTCATGGCGATTGACGCTAGGTACATGGACATGGCACTACCCACCAGCATGCCTGTCCAGACGCGCGACTCGGTGGTTTCGATCTTCTCCTGGCAGTACTCGGCCCAGTTGTGCGCCAGATCCACGAGCAGGATCAGACCGATGAGAAGGAACAGACACGCGCCAACCATGGCGAAGTAGTTGCCCCAGACGATGAAGAACGAGTTCGGGATGAAGAAAGTCAGGACAATCATGCCGATCCAGCCCATGATCTTGGGGGCCCAGAAGCCGTTCTGTATGGTCGCGCGACCGTCCTTGGAAGACCGTACTCCGATGAGCATAAGCGCCATGAGGACGTGGAAGAAACCGAGCGCGAAGTTGATGCGCTGCACTGCAACGTATCCGTAGCATTGTTCGCCGTGGCACTTGATGTCGACGTAATCCAGCGTGAGGTGGGCCAGCTTCTTCATGGCCCAGTCGGTGAGCATGATCCATGAGACAATCGAGTTGATGAGGAGGATGAGCGCGTATGCGATACGGGTGGCGATGCTGCGCGCAGTCAGTATACGATGAACATATCTCCCAGGCTCGTAGTCCTACCTGTTACCGCATTTCCCTCCACAAGAGCCCATGACGGCGCTGCATGTCGCGGCGCCACAGCAGGAGGCGGCAACGCTCCAAACCTGGCCATGTTAGCGGCGCGCAGTCGCGACGGAGCGTGTCAACGTACGGTGCCCATGGCGGGCATAGCCAGGAAGGGGACGGATAGTAATGCGCCCATGGTTGAGATGCCGTGAGTCGCCGGGGTGGTGTTGTGGAGAAGCTGGAGGCACGAGGATGAGGCCGGTGACGTTCCTGCGCATGCGCTTGTGTCGCGGCTCCTGCCGCCAAGTCACGCCTTGGCCATCTTATCTCCGATCAGCTGCAACGGCCATGCTTCACTTCGACTCTCCATTCACTCGACAAACATCGGTGTGGTGTCTTGGGGTTCGCCTGACTTCTTGTTTGCCTCGCGCTATAGACTTCTTTCGTGTCCTTCATTCTTTGCTTGCTTCTTTTGCATATCTTTGCCTGCGCTATTAGTTCCTCGGCTTAGCAAGTGCCGATATCAGTTCCAATCCGCGATTGCGCAACTCGATATCTCCCGCACTCGATGATCAGCGCACTGCAATAACACCTCATTCACACTGGCCAAAATGGTCGCCGAAGAGCAGCCTCCCACCCACAAGAAGACGCGCATCATATCGGTCGTTGCTGCCACCGCAATCGCGCTTGCTTGTGGTACAAATGTACGTCTCCGTCATACATCTGGAGTGGGATGCTAACAGATCCCAGTATGCCTACTCAGCATGGGCACCGCAGTTCGCCGATAAGCTCCAACTCTCTGCGACCCAGAGTAATGTCGTCGTATGCCATCCTACGTACCTCCTGAACACGAATGTCGTCTTACAATGATAGGGAACGGCCGCCAACCTGGGCATGTATGCTTCTGGTATACCCATGGGCATCATAACCGACAGGAAGAGTCCGCGACTTGCTGCAATCATCGGCATGTTCGCGCTCTTCGTTGGCTACTATCCCATCAAGCTTGGTAGGATGCTTCGTACCTGCTCGCCAGACTGTTGTCTAACTGTCGCCAGCGTATGATGGAGGTCCAGGCTACATGAGCGTTGGCCTGATATCCTTGTGTTCCTTTTTCAGCGGCGTGGGCAGCTGTGCTGCCTTCCAGGCTGCTTTGAAGACGGGTAATGCCTTCATCAGCTTCTGGAGTACTCATGCTAACACTTACAGCGACGCTCAACTGGCCTACTCATCGCGGATCGGCCACTGCTTGCCCACTGGCTGCTTTCGGATTGAGCGCCTTCTTCTACACTCTCATCGCCGGCATAGCATTTCCAGGCAATACCTCTGGGTTACTTATGATGCTTTCTCTCGCGACCTCCCTACTCGTTCTGGTATCGATACCCTTCCTCATCGTCGTCGACCACAAAGCTGGCACCGGCTATGCTGTGCTACCCACCAGCGAACGTACGCGACGCAACTCCAATGTCCTCCACAAGACGAGATCCAACGGCTCCAAGTACAAATCATCTGCTCCTCTACAGCAAGAAATTAGTAAGCGATGCTTTCTTTCCACCTCTGTCTTCCCCTTGTCACCTGCCAACCACTTCTAGCAGCCGAAGAAGAACAGGACCGTCCCTCAACCGAGACCTCGTCACTTCTCTCGTCTGGCCCTGGCGACATCATCGATGATGACGACGACGCAGCAAGCAAAAAGTCGGCTCACTCATGTGTAGATATCACTGGTCTGGCACTTCTGAACAAGCCGGAATTCTGGCAATTATGGGTGCTCATGGGTCTTCTGTCTGGAGTTGGTTTGATGACAATCAAGTATGTATACTCCAGATTTTCATCGTGGTCATCACTGACTAGTGTAGCAATATCGGTCATGATGTCCAGGCCCTTTGGAAACATTGGGACGACTCCGTCAAGAACGCCTTCGTCGCTGACCGTCAGCTATGGCACGTGTCCATAATCTCGCTCTGTTCCTTCTTAGGACGTCTGTCGTCAGGCATTGGCTCCGATCTCATTGTTAAGCGACTACATCACTCACGCTTTTGGTGTGCTGCCATCTCTGCCACCATCTTTGCTTTGGCTCAAGTTGCTGCTATTCGCGTTGAGGATCCCCACTTCCTGTGGGCTGTGTCCGGACTCTCCGGACTCGCATATGGCGTTCTATTCGGCGTCTTCCCAGCGCTCGTGGTTGATGCGTTCGGTCCCGATGGCTTCGCCGTCAACTGGGGCTTCATGACTCTGGCACCCGTCGTCAGCGGAAATGTCTTCAACCTCTTCTATGGTGCAGTTTACGACTCCAACTCAGTAGTTGAACCAGACGGTCAACGTGGATGTGAGCTGGGTCTCTCGTGTTACCGCACCGCGTACTATGTCACTCTCACATCGAGCATATTGGGTATCTTCGCTTGTTTCTGGGGTATCTACGGCGAGCATATACGCAAGAGGCGAGAGTTGGAGGAACATGATGGTCATAGAGATGCTTGATTGTATTTCGCGGTGTCGCAACAGATAGTATTGAGGTGAAGCTGCACAGTTCTTCGTGCCTGCCTCCATCTGATAGTAAACTTAGGCATCTAAGACTTCCCACGTTCCTGCTATTGCCTCTGGCTCGATCGCACTAACTCGATTTGTGATGAGGATGAATTGGTATGTCGGCATATGGAATGTTCTTCCAAAGATTGGGCTGCATGGCGATGAAGTGCTGTCCGAAGTGTGCGATCTCGCATTCTAGATAAGAGAAAACTGACTAGTCTCCAGCCGAACGCACCTGAGGGCTCCCTTTGATCTCGCACGCAAATGGAACATCCGGGCAATTGCACTGGGCCATCGTGCTATTGGTTGAGGCTGGTGGATGTCGCTGTATCCTGTTGCTGCTCAAGGATGTGCATACGGTACCCAGGAGGTGTTCGTGGTTTTGTGCAGTGATAGCGATCGCCTCTCGTTGGTATTCTATACACATCGCGTATACGTGAGAGTTTTGTCTGAAGATAGACTGATCTGGACGATAGTCTAGTGC